AATATCAAAGTGGATCCTTGTCTATGATCCTATCAAAAGTTTTTGATTAAAAATGTCAAATGTTTTATGATACAACTCATCAAGAAATGTGACAGTGAGAGTGCACACGTGACCCATGCTTTCACTCTTATTTCCAATGGCAACAGTCAAAAAGAAAACCTTTATTGTACATACTAAAAATACATGACTTCCTCGTTTGAAATACATTGATGAGAATAACATTTCTACGACTTGAAAACGGACCCTAAGGATCCAAAACTGCATAAGTAACTCAGAATAAAACCAACAACAGTTAAAATAGAACGATATTAGAAAAAACTAAGTAACTACAAGTAAATACTCGGTGTTAAAGTTATAACTCGTTTAAGGTCGCTCTTGCCCTCACTTGTGACTTAAATTTCGTTGACCAGCGGCTGCATCGGGACTTTGGTTTTGGTAGAGGTAGCCTCATCATAGGATGGCGGCATGACCTTAACATGGCCAGTGGTAGTGGCTCGCTTCCTCCTGCAGCAATAAGCCACGGTGATTGAAAACAAAACCAAGAACGCCACGGCACTTGATATTATAAGCGCCTTATACGGTGCGCGCAATTTTTTAAACCTGTTGATATGCCCTGAAAAATAAAAGAAAAAAGAAATTAGTATACTGAGGAAAAACCCCCTTGCCTCTTCGCGCAACGGTATCTTCACAGCGCGGAAGGCCAACAAGAATGAGACTGGAACGCATGGTTTCCTTCCCATCATCCCTTTCCATATACACCTTTTACGCGCTGTGTGCACTAGGCAGACGACTGGGAACAAGCCATGTGCCCGATTGAAACAAAACAACTTGTTTGGTTATAAGAAACTTACGTTTGTTACAGAAGTAAATCTGACGCTTTTCTGCAGCAAAAAGGAGACTTTGGGGGTATGCCGAAGTTTACATGCTGCGAAAGTCAGAACGGTCGAATTTTCTTGAAATATTTGTGCAAATGATAAGTTTCAGCGCGCCTTTCAAGTAAACCTCTTCAGTAAATAAGTAAGATCCCTTTTTTAAACACGATGAGAATAAGGGCATTTCATGCTTAAGGGGTTGTCTGTAACTAGCTACTAACCCAAATAACCTACAAGTAAAAGTGGATAAAATATATCAAACGAATAATCAGACTTAGAAGTACTTAGTAAATGACTTTGATAATACGTCGTGAAAAATTGAGCGCCCTCGCTCATGTTAAGAATTTGCGAGCGCTACTATGCGCCGAACAGGGTGCGCAGTTCATTGCTGGGGAATTCCTTTCGCAAAGTTGAAGAGTAACAAAATTTTGGACTCAAATTTAATTCAGGGGATAAGAAAGAGGACACAATAACAGTGTGGGCGTGGTTCTACTTTACCGGATAACAGGAATCTAACTTACACCCGCACACTACCATTTGAGGCTCCTCAATGGCTGGAATTTTTCCTTCAATGAGTGTTACTGTGTAAGGCTTCTTTGTCAATTCTGCCCGGCCTACCAGGTCAATCTAGTTGTAAAACAAGAATTATTGAACTTTGAAAATTTCACTCGAGATATATAAACAATAACCTCCATTTGGCACGAAAATATTTTCGGATATTTGTCCGCGGACATCATCTGATCCGAGATGCGAAGAGTTTCCGAGAGTGAAGCTCGAGGAAAACTGCGAGCTTCGAGGAAAAGATAATGTTCAAGAACAACTACACGAGCACATTTTTGTGCCAAATGGAGACTAAATTAAATGTGTTTATCATCCTTTTTTCACCTGCAATGCGGGTGTAAAACGTAAGCAAACAGCTTTCTGTTTTGGGATATTGATCAAATGAAGCCTTTAAGTGCTACTGTGGTTCTTTCTTTATTCACTCCGAGCTTTCGCCGTTCTACGGCATCATCAGGGAGCATGATCCCTGATGATGCCGTAGAACGGCGAAAGCTCGGAGTGAATAAAGAAAGAACCACAGTAGCACTTAAAGGCTTCATTTGATCAATATCCCACATCATTACGACATGCTACTAAAGGACACGTTCAAACGTTTAGCTTTCTGTTTGTTCGTTGGATGTTTACTTTTCAGTGTTCTGTGGTAGGACTTAATTAACAAACAAACATGTCGCTTGTTCTGTGACAATAGCTTAACGCTCTCTCATTTTGAATTGAAATTTAATGAATGCTTTTATCGAAGTAGACGTATGCTTTGAAAACTGGGGAATATCACTTGGGGATGTCCTCAGGTATTCTTAGCGTTAGCTCGGGCATATTCAATCACATGATGCGTTTATATCAATCGCGCGCGAGAAAAAATATCAGATGAATTTTAAAAATCAATGTACTTGACTTTAATATCAACTAAAAGAGAACTTTTTAAGGGAGATGGGGCTGAAAAAGTTCTTCAAATGGAAATGAGAGTGCAGTTTACCTTGAAACTTAGGGTGCCATTATCTTCCGTCATTGCAACTCGAATGGAAGCATCAACTTTTCCGAATGGTAATCCTTTAATATCCAGTGGGAATCCGGGAACCTCAATTTCCTCTCCATTTTTTACCCTGGCCGACCAATCAAATCCAAGCTTCGGAACTGACATGATGACGTCAGCACTCATGGGATCATCCCATGTGTCAAAGTTCACAGTCACTGTGATATCCTCGCGACTGAAGGGAATTGAACACGTGATTTGGTCGCAGTTGTAAGACGTGGCGTTACATTTGATAGGAAGAGGAAGATTGGGCACCAGTTCGAGACGACATTCGTCTTGCCAACCTGCGAAAAAAAAATCAGTTGATTGTGAATAATCAATGATAATCAATATTAAATATATGAAATTGTTTGAGAGCAAATAGGAAGAAGAGCATATGTGTTGCTTTTTTTTTTTTT